ACAATAATTCTGGAGGGCACTCTATATTGAGTCAGGCTGCAACCTACAGCAATCAGTTTATCAACTATTACAATTTTTGAACACTGCACTGTTTTGAACATGTTATCAGACTCTTATTTGTAAACTTCAGGAGTTTAAGACCAGGAGAGTATTATGTACTGCTAACACATGGATTTGATGTGATATACTGTGCTGTATCCAAACCTAAATCAATAAAAATCCTTCTTATTGATAACTTGGGAGTTTTAAAATCAGTTTCATTATCTTTCTATGATAAAGATTATTACTGTATGTATACAAAGTGCTTAATGACAAAAATAGTAAGTAATTATGAAGTGAACTATTTTTCTTCGCTGTGTTCGTAATTGTAAGGTTCAAGCAGGGAACTGTGTACGTTTGCGTTGGCTGAAGAAGTAGCCTAGAGGTTAATTCCACTGAAAATAAGTTCTGTTTTTCAGCATGAAATTAACTTTTACTTTTACCTATATTTAAATGTTTTTTTATAACAATATACAGTATAATAATTTAACATGAAAACTTAATTCTTAAGCTAAAGTAACATCAACTTGATCATACCATTGTTCTCAGTATGGGAAAGTGTTTTCTTATTTAGCATTGTAAAGTGAATTTATTTGTTTTTGTAAAGGACTTTTATTAATTTTACTTTACAGTAATTCATTCTTTCAGAAAAGTTCCAAAAGTCTTTATTTAGGTAAAAAAAGAGAAGTCCGGTTTGTAGGCTTTCGTCTATGTTTTATATGGAAATGCTTTAGTACAGAAATTGTATCAATATGTTTTAACTGTGGGTAATATATAAACAGTATGCTTTTACAAGATAACCTTCAGTTTACAGATAAGCAACAAATACAGTGTGTTCAGAACTATCTGTAGGGCTAATATGGGTATACTGTATAAGCTTATAGAATACTGAGTTGTAAATTGAGTAAATAAGGATGAATGCTGCATTTTCTCTTCTACATACAGTATCTTTAAATGTCTGAAAATACCACAGCTCTCAGTTTAAAAATATAAAGGAAAAAAGATTAACCATATGTTAAACTGCTTCTTCTTACAATTAGAAGTAACAAATCAGAAATCCATCTTGAGGTTTACAATTGATAAAAAACGTCAGGTATTCAATGCATGTATTGGTACACAAAAGCAAATTTTGAGGTCTTGTATAGAAATATATTCTCCGTGCAGTACATCCGTCCTGGAGAACATGCATTTTCTTTGAGGTATTTATGTATCTGTGTGTTAATTTCTATCTTAGTGTACACATATCTTTTTAGCCAGGAAAAGATAAGTGTTGCAGATTAATCTCGTCACAGGAAATAGACACAAGTCTTTGAAAACATGTTGAACACTCTGTAATTTAATATGCTGGCTTCTGTAGTTTTAGTGTATGAAAGTAAAGGCCCTCTGGTTCAGTGCATGTGGAAAGATCAGTAGTAACTTGCAACCACCTACACTTCCATTGCTGGGAAGGCTCCTGAACGCGCTAACCTGATCTGAAAAAGAAGAAAACAGTTGGGTAATATTATTGTACTTAGCATTTTAAAGCTGGGAAGGGTGTCGCATTGATGAATTATTAAATAGCACTCAGTGTGTTAGGTATACTCACAGAGACTACAGGGTGTGGATGAAAATGTTATTCAGTATTCTGCTTTAAGAGAAAGGCAACATGTTTCTTGGTACTGTTTCATGTTCTTTTGGCATTTTCTTTGAGGTTTGCATGTTCTCCACTGTCTAGTCCTTTGCCAGATCTATAGCCCTGCAATGGAGTTCTATCCATTCCAGGGGAAAGAGCACTCGTCTGCCCTTGATCATGCTTTCCACCTAGTGCTTCAGGAATATGCCCAGGCTTGCTGTGAGCATGGATGGATGGATTTAGAAGACAAATTTGTTCAATTAACTTGTGCTTTAGTGGTAATATGTTCTGATTAATACCATACTCAGCACATAATGAAATGTTCTCAGCCTCAGCCTGAAATAGTAACAGGCATTTACAGTACCTCTATTGCAAATTAAAGTGATACTACGATCTGATACCCAAAGTGTTTTGTAAAATAATTCACTGCTAGCTGCTATAAAAAGTACTAAATCGTAGAGTTTCCAAAGTATGGAGTATAGGATTGCTGTGAAAGCCTTTCAAAAAAGTACCCCAAATCTGTTATGTTCAATGTTGCCCCCCTCCCCCGGGAAATTGGGTCGATGCTGTAGTGGTTCTAGACCCAAGGGCATGGGCGCGACCAAGAAGGGGCAGTGGCTGGCTCACTGCCCCTTGGGCGCACAAGGGGGGCTGGCCTAGGTCTGCCGACCAGCAGAACATTCTTGCGGTCAGGATTCCAGGAAAAGGTGACCGCACGGAGGAGGCGGACAGCCCGCTGGAGTCGCTTGGAGTGCAGGCAGGCGGACTGGAGGCTGATGAGGGAGGGGATGGGCCACCAAGATCCAGAGCTGTGCTGGGTCCAGAGGGCCTACAGAGTGGAAGGGTCTGACCTTCCTGGCTGGGCAGGGAGCAGTCCAGCTGAAGGGCACCAGGAGACGGGCCGATTCAGTCTGGACCATCTGCTGAAGTCGACCTCTGGTCCCCTCTCAGCCACTGGAAACCTCTGGGCAGCACAGCCATGGGCAGACGGAGCCCAAGGAAACTGGAAACCAGGGACAGGAATGGCTCCACTGGGAAGCTGGAACGGTGGCTCAGAAGCGAGATGTACACATCAATACTGGATTGCCGAGGAGAAGCTAAATAGGGTTAAAATCCTCTCAGAGCACCTGTTTCAGTGAAAGCTCTCACTGAAGCTGGGTGCTTTGCCTCAGGGTAGAGCGCCGGCCATCGAACTGCGACACGCCTCACTGGAGAACAGAGAGGGCAGGCAAGCCATACCCTGCCGAGTGGCGGCAAGAAAAACCGTTACACTGGTGAAGTAAAATCACTGTTATGTGTTACTTGTAATTCTTGCTCCAGTTGTCAAAAACAAAAGAACCTTTTGGTAATTCTTTAAAAATTGTATTTTGCAAACTGTGAAACTATGTCTTTTAGAGATATTTTACCTCACCTTTCAGTAGGTATTCCCCCATGAAAAAAAAAACCCCAATAGAATCATACTAGAAATGTTACTTTTAATGTTTAATTGAAGGATTACATTGCAGTCGTGTTAGGTGAACTATTTCACTGTTTATTTCACATTGTTTGTATAAATACCCCTCATGAAGAATTAGAGAATGTTGGATAATAACTGTGAGTGATAAAAATGGTCACAAACAAATGAGGCCATTTGGGCCGTCTAACCCATTTAGTAGTGAGTAGCTAATTGATCCAAGGATCTCGTCCAAATGTATCTTGAAAGAAGCCAAAGCACTGGCTTCAACAACATGACTGGGCACCTTTTTCCAGACTCCCACAAGCTTGTAGATTAGGGTGTCTTATACAGTATTATTACTGAATCCTCCTCAGATTTTGAAGGACCATGTGTCCCATTCTGTGATACAGGCTTAGTTACATAGTGCATCATGAAGTGTGATGGCTTGCATGTCTGCAGAAAAATACATTTTGTGTTTTCTTTATTGGCATCACTAGTTATTTTTTTGTGGATGTGTAAAATATGATGTTATAAAGTACATGTTGTACTGTCAAATATAACCGTTAGTTTCAAAAACTGGAACTAAGAAAATGGTAAAAACTGGTTTCGGTCTTTTGTAGTACGGTTTGACGTGTCAAAGTCAACCATGTGTTTCTGCTAGTAAGTGAAAGTGGTCACTTCAACAATGAAAGCTGTCTGGAGTATTTGTGTGAAACTTTATTTAAAAGTTATTTAGAATAGCTCCTGTTAGAAATAATATAACAATGCTAATTAAATTAATAGTCGTGTTTTAAAAATAGTCAGTGCCTTTGTATTCTTGTTATAGATCCCCAAGTTTCTAACTAGGAAATATGCCTGTCATTGATAAAAGTGGTATACTTACATAATTATATTCAAGTAATGTTAAGGAATAACTTTATATGACACTAATAAACAATTGTAAGTAAGCAATCTGAACTTTCAACCCTCATCTGTACTCTGCTTTCTGTTAACCAATTCTCCTTACAAACACACACATTTTTCCAAATGCATAAACCTGTAATTTGTAAATTAAGAGGAACATTGTTGGCCTTCAAGAAATCTAAATGCACCATATAATACACTGTTTCTGTGCGTTACTATAGTTGTTTGTTCAAAGAATTGTAAGTTCGTTAATGAAAGAAAATCTTTTCCAAATCCATTCTTTAGAATTCCTTAGAGCCTTCCCATTCCTAAAATACAATTAGTAGAAGAGTATTAGGCCCTGGAGATACTGTATAAGTTAAATTTGTACTAGAACACTTCTGCCTGTTCTATGCTAATATTATTTAAATATTTGTTTACTCAGAATGTTTTGAGACATTTTGAATGTTCCTTCCTTCGTAAACACCTGAGTGAAATATTCATATTATACTTCCTTTTCATCATCTAAATGTTTTTTTTTAAGATTCCGTATTTTTTAAATCAGTGTTTGCAGTTCAATATATACCTTTTCTTTAACTGGATTATATTCTCTTTTGAATGTTTTATAAAGTGCTTTCTTTCTCCTTACCATGATCTTTTTAATTGATTTAACCATTTGGACTACTGCTTTCCATTACTATTTCCTTTATTTATCTTGATTGACTTACATGTGAGATCCATGGTTTAAGTCTTGAACCTGTGGCCATCTATTTTTATTCTATCCCATTTTTGCTTCTCTTACGCTGTCCCATTTCTGTCTTCATACTTCTGTCTTTATGAAACATTGTGGAATTTTTTGCAACCCTAAGCAAAATTACCAGGCTGTGCATCCATAACTATCCATTTACTGAACAAGAGACATTAAAGGAGCTGTGGAAGAATATAGTTTATTCAGATGGGAATCATTATTTCTTAACTGTGGGAAGTTATTTTATTGATTGCCCAGACATTTCATGTCTGTTTTTTTTTCAGGGATGGTGAGCTCAGTTCATCGAGACGGATGGTCAATACATCTGATAAAATCATTGGACAGAGAGGACATGCATTTTTTCAACATTCAGTTGAAGGCTGGAAAGTAAATTCTTCATTAGTAATAGAAATAAGGTACGTTATCTACTTTTTTCTTGCACTTTGGAAATGTTTATGGTTTTTGGACTAAATACATAAGGCTGTCTTGCTAATGGATAAGTGGTTGCATTGATGAGGTTAGTTTTTAACATGCAACAAAGTTGGAAAAGAGCCACCTACCAGTTCTTAAATGGCTTCCATTCTTCAATACTTTAATGTGGTCAGATGCTATGGATAAGTACATAAAGCCAAAAGTAAAAAAAAAATGGTGTTTTCCATATTTCAACCACAGGCTTTTCAGAGCAAATGTCTTTTGCCAGTAGAACAAAAAATGCCAGATATCTGCAGTGTTCACGTAGGTTAAGTACAGCAGTATAACAGTTTCGAATTCCATAAAGCAGTGAAAGTCTAATCGGTATTAGCTCCTTCCATAAAGCCATTCTTTAGTTTTATTTCAAGTATATTTTATCTTAATAAAGGCTTTCAATTATTTCTTTGTTTTGAGAATTAGGTTTTGTATCTATTAAAACCACTCTGTACTGTGGGGTTCATTTTAGTCACACTCTGTTAATTCACAGTTTGACAAAATGGGCTAATTTCACAGTCGTGTGAGCTGACAAAATTCCCAAATAGGCAGGATTTGTCACTAATGCAGCATTTAGGAAATTAAGCTTTCAAGAGTAAGAAGTCATTGTTTATAGGAAATCAAGAAATAATTATGAAGGTTATTCATTATAAGTCTTTAGACAAAGTATGAAACAAGTAATTTGGAATACATGGTTGTTATAAAAGAGAAAAGATAAAGTAGAGCCTGCTAGAATTCAATCAAACGGTGAAGAGTTACTGAACAAATTACCAGTGTACATCAGATTATCTAGAAAAACTGTGGACATTGTTCTGTATGCTGCAAAGAACATCATGAATGAATTAAGATAAAACAGAAAATGTGTTGCCTGCAAGACATTTAATTGTGAATACACGTGATCTGGAAAGCTGTCTGTTCACCAAAGAGCACATTTAGCACCTTAGGGCTTTTTTGGTTTATGGGAAACTTTGAACGTCAAGGAAAGGTGTGTTATTACATCATTTCCAAATAAATGAAAAATCTACCAAAGTACAGTGCAGTAATTAAAAATACATTTGTGGGAGCTCCAGCCAACACTTGGAAAGTAGACTTTGCTCCAGCTATATATTTTTCACCCATCTGTTTTAGAACTGGTTTTGTCTGCTTGATTCATAGGGTCATAATGTTGTGAAATAACCAGTCCTCACATACCCCCGCAAATGCAGTGTCTGTACAAACATGATGGTTTATATCTAAGTAGGATGAGCACCAGTCTGCCAGGTACAAGGATCTAGAGAGAAATTCAAAAACATTCAAACTGGTATGGAATGGGAGAAAATCCAAAGAGATACCCAGGGTGTAGAGTCAACAAGAAAACTCAAGGGAAAAACGAACATCAGAGACCTAGATAATTAAGTGCTTATACCTAAATGTCAGAATTATTAGAATTAAAATGCAAGAGAAGCTACTGTATTAGTATGCAATTATGTGATGTAATTAGAGCCACACAAATATGGCTAACAGGGAGTGAAGATGGAAAATGCATTGTTTGTAGATATAGTTTACTGAAGAGCCTGGAAAGATGAAAGAGGTGGAGGTGTAGAACTGTGCATGAAAAAGAACATTCAGACACATAAACATAACCTCTGTGCATCAAAGGACTCAAACTATATGACTCAGACTTACAAAAAATGATACAAAAGGAATGATGTTAGGAATATGGTATTGTAACGCAACGGGGGCTCAGGCGGGCGCCCTTGCCGCATTAGGTCGGCCTCTGCACCGTCCGGGGCTCGAACCCGGGACTTCCGCGTCTCTCTGCAGCGACCTAGCCCCGTGAGCCAAAGAGAGATCTCTCCACAGCCCAGTAGCTGTGGTCCTGCTATCACAGGGAAGGGCGGTGACGTCACCCGCTCTGGTACGCCGGCTCTTACACACACTGCTTGTCGGCCGTAAGCGTTACAGTATAAACCAAATTGAGATATCCCAAAGTAGTGCACATGAAGGGAATTAACAAAATGATGGAAACACCAAGCAATATGAATATTTATCAGCTAATAAATAGGTTGCCCATTGCCTTCAGAACAGCTTTAGTCCTTCTTGGAATACTGCTAAACAAGTTTTGAACTCATTCTAGTGGGATACTGGATCATTCTTCAAAAAGGACAGCCTTTGAAAGATGAAGGAGGTGGAAATATACTTTGTACTCTGTGTTATGGAATGTCCCATAAAGGTTCAATGATGTTTAGATCTGGTGATGGAGGCGGCCATAGAAGGCGTTTGACATGATCTTGTTGTTCATGAAACCACTCTTTTTAGTTTTTAATCTGTTTAGAGGTGTATATTGGGACATATCCTCTTGGAACATGATGTTATCACCTTCTCATGACTACCATGAGATACCATAACAGAATCACATTTTTAACAGCTGACGATGTGGGCTGAAGGCTTCCTTTCACTGTGTACAAACATAAACTCAACAAATGTAGTAAAAAAGAGCAAAAGATGACTCATCGGACATCAGACTTTCATCATATTGAAACACTATTACTTTCTTCCACTGGTCCGAAGTCCTGGCTTTGTGCTCATTATACCAGGTTATGCGTTGCTGTGCATTGGTCTTCATTACAAATGGTTTCTGAATGGCCTCCCAACCATAAATGTCAGCTTTGTGAAGTTCAAGTCGTTCAGTTTTAGTTTAGACTGGGTCATGGTAGTTTGGATTTAGTTCTGTGGTAATTTTTAAGGCTGTTGTTTTCTGTTTTGTTTTTCACTTATGCTAAGAAGTGTCTGTCGATCCCTGTTGATGAGGTTCAGCTTGTGGCCACTGTTCCTCTTTTCTGATGGTGTTTTTCTTTGTTTGGTTTATGCCGTCATGACTTTCAACACTGTTCCCATTGACACATTAAATATTTTGCCATTTCTGTAACTGATGCACCTGCCATACAGACATAAAATATTTGACCTATTTCAAAATGTTAGATCTGTCGTTATTTTAGAAACTTGCGTATTAAGATGCTGATTTTAAGATGTCTTTATAGCAGAAACATAATGGTACTGGAAATTAATATGAAATGTGTAGAATGCTTTTAAATTGTGATTTAGTTACTTCAAAATGAGTCACTTTTTGTTAAGTGTTTCCACTGTTTTATCCACTCTCTATATTTGACACTTATATAACGAAATGAAAAGTGGTTGTTATTGGAGATTTTTAGTTTTTCTCACAAAAATTAGAAAGAAACACCAGGGACTCCACAAACTGAACCTGAAACTGTAATCATAGCTGAAAACAGTTTTCTTACAGTTTGTCTGAGCATCTAATGTAGGGAATTATTGTATGCTTTGAAGTAGACTATATTTTGAAACTGTATGGGAAGAGTCCAAAATAAAAGTCTCATATTTCAGAATGCAGGAGGTGAAAAAAAACATTTGAGAGGATAGAAATGGAAGCCATAGAGAATGGATGAAAACAGTTTAAACATAGTGTGCTTGAAGCACATAACCAATTCATCCCACAGTAAGTAAATCAAAGTCAAGAAGACCAAAATTGTTTACTAAATCAGTAAGGAAAAATCTAAGGAGAAATACAGCATTTCACATAATGGTTAGAAGGATAACAAGATGAAATTCATCTATAAACAAAGAAATATCATTGATTAGAAAGGCCAAGAGAGAAGATAATTTTACAGTGATTGCTACTACAAACTATTATATTTTTATTGTTATACTTGTATGCTGAAGCCTGGCTTCTTTGATGCGGCAGCTGGATCTGATTTTTGGATCAATAAACGACCAGCAACTAAGTGAGCCGAATGGCTTCTGCTTATTTAACCTTTATGTTCAGTAGGTTGGATGATCAAGTACTGTGTGGCAGTACGGTAGCCTTACAAGTCACTACAATGTTATGGTAGTGGGAGGAGGGCCTTAAAAGAATTGTTAAAAAGTGTAAGAATTTAGTCTTGTGATCCTTTTGTTTCCTGTAAAGTGTGTTTTCAATTCCTGGCATTTCTGAACAAATTCTGCTGTTTTTATTTCATTGAGAATTTATATTATTCGTATTTCAAGATTACTTGTATTATGTTATTAATATCACTACATTATTTTTTAATCCGTTTTCATAGGTGTTCTGTAAATTCAATTTAAACAAAGCTTCAGATTTTCTTTGTTGTGTCCATATAAATAATTAATCTTTCAAATTGGGGAGAAAGACTGAATAACTATCTGCATTTTAACTAGCTAGTCTGTAACTGGGTCAGAACACGTTAGTGCTGCAAATCCTGCTTCCAACAAAGCAATATAGAAAGCAACATCAGTTAGATGTAGTCTACATAATTTGTCAATTTTTAGGTTAGAAAATGTTAAATTGACTTTTTCAATTTTTTAAGGATTTGTTTTTTTTTCATTCTATTTTTATGCATTATATGTGAAAAATGAGGATTTTTGGTCACATCTGTTACCTAAAAATGATGCCAAATTACTATTAAAGGTTCTGAGCATTTAGAGGTCAAAATGTTCCCTTTTTTACAGTCCAGAAGTACCAGTAGCTCCAGTATATGGTGTGCTTTATTCTTGGAGCACTTTTCAAAGTTTTTTTTGTGAATGTATTGTACCTGGGGTGATTTATCAACTGTACAATGTTATCAAAGTAGTGCAAAAAATGAAGGGAAAGTGGACAATGAAAGCCAAATAAAAAAATATCTAGTCACTCTAAGATGTACCTTGTTCCAGTGAGCTCTTCATGTGTAAAGAAGCTAGATGTGCACACATCCCTATAATTACCTGCATAAGGACACTGAAAAATGTGAAATGTGAAGGACTGTTCTTTCAGACAGGGTACAAAGTGAATGCCGACAGAAAGTCATATCTCGCATCATCACCACACTCTAGTGAGTGTGATTATGAGACCAAGATGGCTAAAAAGGTAGCTGGTACTAACCAGCATTTTTCATTGGTGAACTGTACAGCACAGTTA